TTGCGTTGTTTTGTTTTGTGGGGGGGGGGGGGGGGGGGGTTAATGTTGTTTGTTTGTTGTTGTTATAAAAACGAATAAAAATAATTTGGCAAAAAAAAAAAATACTTTGGTACTATTTAATGTAATCCACACTTCATTCCTGCATTATGTGTGTGCCATTTACATTGCCATTCAAAAGTCTGCCGTCAGTCAGATTCTTTTGTTTTGTTTTTAAAGAAAAAAAAAATCAGCAAGGACACATTAAATTGATCTTAAAGGGGTCATATGATTTCAATTTTTACTTTCTCTTTGGAGTGTTACAAGCTCTTGGTGCATAAAGAAGATTTGTAAAGTTGCAAAGACGAAAGTCTCAAATCCAAAGAGATATTCTTTATAAAAGTTAAGAGTCAGCCACGCCTACCTAAAACGGCTCGTTCTAACACGCCCCCACATATCTACATCACTATGTGGGAAGATTTGCATAATGCCGCCCAAATGTTCACGCAAAGAAAGAAGGAGTAACTTTGCGCTGTGGATCACCGGATCGGCTTTCACCGTGGACGAAGCGGAGTCCAGCCCGGGCTCGTCACATGTGGTTGCCGCAAGCCATCCGGACGCTCCTTCGTCGAATCCACCGGTCGCGCCGTTCTCAAGCCCGCCGCCTCTGCTCACTCTAGCCCTCCGGCCATTCCTCACTCTAGGCCACCGTGTGTGACGCTGTGTTTCGTTGTGAAAGCGAAACTACTTTGTTTGGTCTTCCAAAAGTGGACACGACTACAAATCAGTGGTTAAGTTGTATTTACAACACTGTTCCAGAACAGTTCAACCCAAATATTCAGATGTGTGCAGCACATTTTATGGAGGACCGTTTCCTGATCCTGGTAGAGTAGACTACAATGCCGGCTGTTCTGACTCAGAGACTGCATGTACGTTTTTTATATTTCTTTATATAAAAATAGTTTTTTGGGCAGTGTAGAGTAGGGCTTGTTGTTTGTCATTTCTCCGATCACAAATGCAGACATGGTTTTATGTTTACGTGGCGCGATGCAACGCAACGCATTATAATCCATAATTATGTCCCCACTGGATGCAACGAATGCCTCGTTTATAATGGGTTTTCATGTTTTTGAATCATTGCTCCGGCCTGACAAGGCATCATCACAGTATGTTAAGGGGCGTAACATTTCTGTCACACGCTTGAGGTATTCGGCCAATCATAAAGCACTGGATAGCTGGCCAATCAGAG